GATCTCATTTGATTTTTTTCTAAGAAGAATGCTATCATAACACTGTTATGAAACTGGCCTGCAGAGACCTCTCCCAGTGGCTGGATTTCTCCACTGTGTGGCTCATGGGAGATTTGTGAGCCCTGCCAACCTCTCCAGCTGCAGGAGCCGAGATATGTGTGTGTGTCCAGATATCTCTTGCTTTGGGATCTTGGCAAATCCTGTTCCCTTTATTGGGAACACCCTCCCCCCACCCCCCACCTCTCTGCTTGGTTAACGCCTTCTCATCTGACTTCCAGGTCTCAGTTGAGACCTCCCCACCCACCCAAGCCCTTCCTAACTTCCCAGGCTGGGTTAAAGCCCCTCACCTGCTGTTTCACCAGCCCTTTGTCCCCCTTCATCGCTCCATTCCAGCTCTGACATGTTATATAGATCTTGAGCAACTGATCTAAGTACCTTCAGCCTCAGTGTTTTCATCTGTGAAATGGGACACAAACGCATAGCTGGTAGAGCCGGAGGTCCTTGAGGCCAAGAAAGAAACAATTCCTCTCACATTCACTGCTTGCAACAGCCTGGCAGAGTCAGAGAGTCCTGGATCCAATTGGCAGGCGAGGAAGCAGGCTTTTGGGAGACAGTGTTGTGTGCTTGGGAAGAGACGGAATCAAATTTGAACCCCGGTCTTTGCTTGTGAACCCTTCCTCCTTCTTCCATATCACACCTGTGCATCTTAGAGATCACGAAGAGAGTGAAGATGCAGCCCCCGTCCTCAAGATACGTGCCGTCTCCTGTGCTCTGGTGACAACAGACTAAAGGACAGATATTTACAAAAATCTTATAAACTTGCACAATAAGACTGAAGGTCTCTGAGCCCCTCCTGTAGGCTCAAAGTCACATTGAACAAGGTTTGAAAATAAAGACAGTGACGTTTCCCTCTTTGGAAAAGAAAAAGCCCTGAGATCTTCTTCCTCTGCCAGAGCTGCTGATGTTTCTGGAGGAAGATAGGCCCCCAGCACTGCTGCTTCGCCGGTCACTCCAGAGCTTCCTGGCCTTGTGAGCATCGTGGGGCCCTGGCTTTTCCACCAATGGTGCTTTAAACAGTGTGATAGTGGAATGGTCATGACCAGTTTTCTTTGGGGGTGAACTTCTGCTACTTTCTGGGTTTGCTTTTTCCTTTACTTGCAACAAAGCATTCTTGAGGCCAAAGATCTCTCATGCTTCTTGGTCACACATTTGCCATCTGGTGGAATGATGACCAATCGCCATTATTGTTATTGGTTCTATCCAGCAACCTCAGCTTGCATCTGCTGAGCTCTCACTGTAAACACTGCAGTGGACTGGACGGTGTCCCTCCCAGAATATACGTCCATGTCCTAACCCCTGCTACCTGTGAGAGGGACTTTATTTGGGCAAAGTGTCTTTGTAGATGTGATTAACTTAAGGATCTTGAGCTGAGGCCATTTGGATTAACTGGGTGGGCCCCAAATCCTTTGACAGGTGTCCTTATAAGAAAAGGAGAATCACGGAGGAGAGATAAAAGCTCATATGATGACAGAGGCAGAGGCTGGAGGGCGGCTGCAAGGATTGCTGGCATCCGCCAGGAGCTGGAAGGGGCAGGGGGGGTCACCCCTGCAGCCTTTGTAGGGCCCACAGGGCTGCCCACATATTGGTCTTGGACCTCTGGCCTCCAGAACTGTGAGGGAATAAATTCCTGCTGCTTATAAGCCCCCTTGTTTGCAGTAACAGCAGCCCGAGGAAACTAGTGAAACCACCTTACCCTAAGAATTGCCCCCCACTCACTGCGCACCCCGTTTTTCTGCATCGTGGCATTTATTTCCTTTGTGACACATCTCCTTCTGTAATGATCCCCTTTTCCTGTGCTTGACTGTGATCTGCGTGTAGTGAGGACCTTGTCCACCGTGAGGACCCCAGGCTCTAGGGAAGTTTGGCCCCTCTTAGGGGCCCACAGATACTTGTTTCTGAACGAGATGTGGTTGGAGACAGGTACATTTCCAAGAAAACAGACCTCAGAATCAATATTCCTGTCCCAACTAAAGTCCTGAAAATAAAAAAATAACAAAGACAAGGCACGCACATGCACACAAAGCTAAATCAAATTTCAGCAGGAGATTTTACAACTCTCCTGCGGGAAGCCTGTTCTTACCCAGACATTTAATTGAACGTACGTACAGTCAGCTTGCAGCATATCTGGGGAGCTCACACGGAGGGCCGCTGGGGCTGAACCAACTCCAAGGAACCTCATTAATTTCTAAATGAGAAATGCTTTCATTTCTGAGCCATGGTCTGGAGGCAATGCCATGCGGGGGAATGATCTTAGAGGACCAGGTTTTCACACCAGCTGTTCGGCTTCTTTGCCCAGAATTTTACCTACAACAGGGAAAGAAGGAAGGAGAGAGGAAGAGAGGGAGGGAGATTGGGAAGGAAAGAGGGAGAGAGGGAGGGAACACAACAGACCATGGCTCCTGCCCCGTGATCACATTTTATCCTGCGACAGCCTTGGGAAGGAGCTCAGTTGAGTTTGCTTGACCCACCGAAGTTGGTGGCATTTAGGGGGTTGAAGACAAAGTAATTTGGTCACAGCGGAAGTCAGGCTGATTTATTATATTCATCGGCTTTATTATTGGTGGGGCTATAGTTTATTTAGTCCTTACATTCTGGGACATGGTACTGAACCCCTTACGCTTCCTCATGTCGCCCTGCTGTCTTTCCATGTACTGTTCCTATGAGACCGCTGTGAACCACGTATTCTTAGCTCCATTTCATAGATGTGGAAATGGAGGGGCTGAGGCATTGAGTGACATGCCCAAGGCCCCACAGTCAGAGCCCAAATCCAAGGGCAGATTATCAGTACTGATGTCCATATTTTTAACCACTGTGAGGTCATCTCTCAAGCTCCCTTTTCCTTTATGTCTCTGAAACTGCCACATATAAATATATATATATATTTGCCTCAGAGTCATACTATCTAGCTCTTAATTCATTAACTGGGTCCACAAATACCTGTTGACCACTCTTCACAGCCTTGAAGCTTTCCTTGAAACTCAGGAATACAATTACACTAGAGAAGAATTACCGCCCCCCCCCCGACCACCCCATCAAGGAACTCACTAATTGACAGGTGAGATGGAAACTATATGACCCAGATGCCTTCCACCCTAGGTGTCAAATGCCGGGACAGGTGTCTGTGGGGAGCTGAGGGGACGCAGAGCAGAGGCACCTGACCGCGTGGACAGTGGTAGACATGAGCACAAGGGAAGATTCTCTGGAAGAAATGGCACTGAGCTTGTTCTGAAGAATAAGAGGAAAGTATTTATTTTCAGGCTTATCTTGTTGCCGAAGGATTGAAAGGTTCAGTGCCCAGCTCACAGCAAATGAATTTGGTTAATGAGTGCCTGGTGAAAAAGAGCTTTGCGATTGTTTCCCCTACTGCTTTGGCTGCCAGGAAGCTCCAAGCCAGTGTGGTGGCAAAATGTTTTGACCTTGAGATCTTGTGACCTCAGGCTTCCTTCTGCCCTCTCCCCCCAGCCGCCACCCCACCACTGGTCTTGACTGTCAGGTAATTCATCCTTTTCTACTTTCCAGTTTTGTAATGGAAGTTCTAATCGTGCCTTATAATGTAATGTACTCTGACTCACCAGACACCTGCAATTTGGGAACAGAGGAGAGAGGTAGGGGACTGAATGTTGTTGGCAGACTTTTATGAGATGTTCTTTCTCTGGCCTCCCCTGTTTCCCTGCTATCTGCTGCTGCCTATTACTGTTCTCAGCTTGCCCAGGGGAATTGAATTTCAGACATCAGTGGAGCTCAGAGCAAATCCTCTACATCCAGTGATGGATTGCTGCAGGCAGTGATGGGCAGGAGGCTGGGGAAGAAAGGCTGGCAGCCAGGGGGCTGGGCAGGTGGAGGAAAGCAGCCCTGGGGAGGGAAAACCCTGCCTGGACCCCTGGGAGGAGGGGCCTCAGGGAGCCTGGGCAGGCAGAGATCAGGCCAGAGGTGTGTGGGGGCGGGCAGGTGGGGCCGGACCTTCAGAAAACACTGCCTTGGGAGCTGGGATTGTCCCGTGGCCTGGGGTGCTTGGGGCAGGCCCTGAGCTGGCCTTCCGGGATCCTTGCTGGCTTGGCTCCAAGTCCCTGCAATCTAGCAGGTGCCAGACAAATGCTTATTGGCTGAGTATCACCTCTGCCCTCTGTGAAGCCACATCCTGGCAACAGCTAGCTCAACCCTCTGAGAAGACCTCCTTCAACACCTGCTGGATGAAGCCCCGCTCTGTGCTCCCACCTCTGCGACAATGGTGCCTTGTGTTCATTTTCTGGGGTGAGCGTGGTGGCCTAGAACAGCAGGCACATACTGTATCCCAGCCCTGGATATCAGAGCCCGAAACCAAGGTGTCGGCAGGGGAGGCCTTGCGGAGGCTCTAAGGGGCCACTGTTCCCTGCCTCTGTCCCTGCGTCCGGCGACCACTGCCTGTCCCGGTGCCCCTTGGCTAGATGCATTGCGCCGTCTCTGCCTCTGTCTTCTCCCCTTCCTCTTCCAAGGGCACTGGTCATTAGATGCAGGGCCCTAATCCAATACGGTCCCGTCTGGAGACCCTTCACTTAGTTTATCTGCAAAGTCTCTTGTCCTAGATGAGCTCACGTTCCCAGGTTCTGGCTGGACATGAATTTGGAAGCTACTTGTCAATTCATGACACCCCTCTGCTGTCTCCTCTCAACCTAGCAACCCAGAGTGTCCACTCCAGAGACATGTCACAATACAGACCTCACAGGGTACAGGGAAAATAAGTGAGATGATGCTTCTATGACACAAATTCTGGCACTAATGAGCCTCAGGAACTGTAGTTGCTGATTTATTATGATTATTATCATTAGAAACAGTAGTAGTGATAATACAGTCATTTCCCTCCCAGCATTGGGGGCTGGCCCATGGGAGTGCTCAGTAAATGTTTGTTGATTGACTGAAGGATGTGATAACCCCCTCTGCCTGCTCTCCTGGTCTCTCCGAAGCCATGCATGGAACGTTTGTGATTCTGCTGCCACTCAGCCTGATCCTGATGGTTTTTGGGGGGATGATGGGATTTCCGAGCTTCCTTCTCCGAGTGTCCCTCCTCCTTGTGCTCACGGGAACCCTCTTCCTCTTTGGAGGTAAGTGCCCCCTCTTTGAGGGACTTGGGCTCCAGGAGGGGCTATGCATGAACCCTCAGGGAGGGGGTGGGGGTCCCATCGCCTCCCTGGGGCTCAGTTCCCCCTCTGGAAGGGGTGAGTGGGTTCCCAGCCCAGGGTCAGAGAGGGGTGGGAGCCGTTCTTGAGAATCCTTCGCGTGATTTCACAAAAGGAGCCGCATGGAGGGAGCTTCCGCTTTGGGGCTGGAAGGCTGGCAGGCGACCCTCCCTCTCTCAGACCCGCCTGCCATTCTTTGATTGCTTAAACGATAGGCAATACAGGTCCACACCGCTGGTCTGGCAGACCAGAGGTTTCCAAAGATGGGATCCAGCACGCGGCTGGGGGATCGGAGGCCTCCCTGCTTCCTGTGTGTCTGACACTGTCCCTCCTTAAAAGGACAAGAACAGCAATGACACACACACTCAGAATTCACGGGGAAAAATACAGGGAAGGTCTGGAAGTGAAAATATTGGGAGGCCCAGATCCCCTCCGGTCACCCACTATTACGTTTAATATTGGCATTCCTAGTTCACCCAGTGACTAGTTCTTGAATCCAGGCGGCCCAGTCAAACTTCCTGGATGGTGGGGAAGCTCTGTCATCTGTGCTCCGGGGAGCCACCAGCCAGGCGGCACAGCACTTGACGTGTGGCAGGTGTCAGTGAGGGGCTAGGATGCTGATTTAAATCAATTTAAGTTTAAACAGGCATGTGGGGCCAGAGGCCACGGAACTGGATGGTGCAGTCCGAATGCTAACATCTCCGGGGCCCCACGTGTGCCAGGTGCAGGCAGGGTGCTGGGGGAATCCAGGAGCCCTCTGGGATTCTCAGCCTGTGGGACACAGGCATTCATCATTTCCCAAACAAATGCAAAATTACAATTCTGCCCTGGGCTGCGATGGAAACCACAGGGGATTTGGTCTGGTCTCCCTCGCCCCCTGCAGCCTTGGTGACCCTGGCTGGGATCAGCATCTACATCGCGTACTCAGCTGCTGCCTTCCGGGAGGCGCAGTGTCTCCTGGGGGAGAAGGCCCTCCTGGACCAGGTGGACATCCGCTTCGGCTGGTCCCTTGCCCTGGGCTGGATCAGCTTTGTCGCCGAGCTGCTCACGGGGGCGGCCTTCCTGGCAGCAGCCCGCGTGCTCAGCCTGAGCCGGCGGCAGGACCAAGCCATCTGAGCAGGGGGGGAGGGAGGGGCTTGGCCTGGGGGCCTCCGGGACTGTGTTGGCAGCTGTGGCCGCCTCTTTCTCAAAGGCCACCTGTGGAGGTCAGGGGCCCAACAGAACCACTGTCCGCTGAGCTCTGGGCCTGGCTGTCATCTCAGTGCCGTCAGAGCTGGCTGGTGTGGTGTGTGCTGTGGGTCTGCACACGTGTGTGTCCGCTTGGACTGGAGGAGGCTGTGCAGAACCTGCAGGACAAAAACAGCCCCTTACAGATGGCAGCATCTGTATGCTTCCTCTGGCTTCATGTCATCCTCACCCCCTGCCCTTTGGACCAGCTCCCCTTCTAAGGACATGGAAGACCAGAGAGGTTAGGTAAGTTGAACAAAGTTGCATGCCTAGCTTGTGGCGTATTCCCTGCTCTAAGAACAGCACTCTGTCCTTTATGGCAGTTTTTCTGAGGAGATTCCCAGCCCGTTACTGTGTGCGGAGCTCGCTGCAACCAGACACTGGCCACATGCCTCCTGTGATCTGGACCCCAGGCAGAAGGCTGCAGGGGGACACCCCGAGGGAAGAGCAGAAATCTGGGCTCCTCTCCAGCCAGGAGGTGGACATGTCCTCCCCGGCCACAAGATTCCTGCTCCTCTGGTCCAGAGCCCTGACCCTGACCCTCTGCAGAAAAGGCTCCCTTCATGGGATGATTCTGTGATCAGGGGCTTGTTTTTGAAACATAAAATGCAGCCATCCCGGGGGTGAAAACCTCTCTTAAATGCTCAGGTGGTCAGCATGCTGGGTGCCTTGATGTGTCACTTCATTTGTCAGGAGACCTCCACGGAGAGAGAAGAGGACTTGGTGAGCTCACTATTGGGGGGAAGAATAATCTCAAAACCACAGGAGTGACCCCTCACTATTCGCACTTACTCTTCAGTCCAAATGCTAAATGTCATTCAAGTCACCCTGAGTCTGCGACAGAAGTGGTTTCCACCTGGCAGGGTGACCGAGCCCGGTTCCCTGGTGTAAAGTCCAGGATGGATAAGGCTCAGCCACACTGGGAATGCGTGAGCGGAGTCGTCTGCACAGCCTCAGTGCCGGGGTCAGCTGATCTCACCCCTCATTGCCCTTTGGAACCACCTGCAGAATTTACAAAACGCCCACGTACCTCTCAGGCCAGTTAAACCACAGTCCAGGCACTGCTGGCTTTTGGAAGTGCTCCGGTTATCCAGAGGTACAGCGAGTGGGGGACGAGCAGCGGGCTGGCTTAGAACCAAACAGGGGCTGTGTGTGACTTTATCATCACAGGCAAAATGCCCCGCCCGGTGCGATTCCTCAACTGCACCGAGGGTTTTGCAAAAAATAAGGAGAGTAGTGGCCTGGCATTTGGTTTTTATCAGTGTGCCTCCAAATCTTATGGAGGGTGTGTGTGACTCGTGACTCATAAAATGTCACCTCTGATCAGTAGGTTGTGGGTGGGGCCTGTGATTCTGTATTTCTAACTTCTTTGAGTAGAAAAGATGTATAAATTGTCACACACACACACACACACACACACACACACACACACACACACACACACAAGGGTCTTCTGCCCTTGAATACAGAGGAGTTTTTAGGTTGCTTCTGCAAAGGAGGTCTGAACCCAGGTGCAGGTGGAGTCCTGGTGACACTATGGCAGCTCTTTTCTGAAGTCATGAACACCACTAGCGGTGTGTGGCCTTGGTGGGTCTGGGCGGGCAGGGTGCCCACGTCCTTGGCCCTGTTGGCCTAGAATGCTTGCCAAGGAAGCGTTGGCTCCTTGAGGGTATCCCAGAGGCTTCCCACAGTGTGCGCTGGGTGTAGGTCTAGAATACGAAGCTGTTTCCCATGGAGCTGGGAGTGGGCAGGGCGCTGTCCAGGGACTAATCATACTGCTTTCTCCCTTCCCCTGGAGGTTCCACCCCTTTGTTCACCCTTGCATTCAGCCCATGGGACTGGGCCTGTCCAATGTGCTGCATGTCTGAACCACCCTGGGCAGCTTGTACACAGGGTGCCATGACTCTGGGCTCGTCCAAGCCCACCTGGCCCGCTGCCTCTGAGTCAGTAGGTCTGGGACCTGAGAATTTACATTTCTAACCAGCTCCCAGGTGATGTGGACACTGCTGGTCTGGGGCCACACTGATGACCCTGCCCAGGGGAGTTTGAGAAGTGATGGGTGGCTGTCACCTTGCTGCACATTAGAATCACCTGGGCATCTTTAAAAAACCCTGGTGTCTGGGCCAAATCCTTGTTCTAATAATCTCCGGGGGGTGGGGGTGAGTCCCGGCACTGATAATTTTTGAAGACCTCTCCAAATGATTCCAATGTGCAGCTGAGGTTGAGAACCTGTTTCTGTGAGATTCTAAGTCATGAGATGTGGGGAAGGCCTGGGGAGCCTTAGGTTTAAGAAGTTCCCTGGGAAGTGCTGATGGTTCAGTAGGCCTGGGGACCACTGGGGTGGGCTGTAGGATGACAACACCATTACCACCACCATGACATCATTGGCTTCACCGTGACATCATTATCCTTACCATGACACCATCCTGCTCACCATGACATCAACATCCTCATGACATCACTACCTTCACCATGACCTCTTTCTCCTCACCACAGTGTGGGCATCATCAGAGCTGACACTGTATTTACTGTATCGAGTATTTACATGTGCTATTCTGGGTACTCAACAGTCCATCAGTCATTCAACAAACACGATGGAACGCTGGGAACTGGGGGCAATGACCCCACCAGAACAAGCCTTTGCTTTGTGCGCTGTCACACAACTGGGTAAAACATGGTGGTGAGGACTGTGGAGATAGGTGAGGCAGGGTGTGATGAGGAAACGGAGGCACAGACACGTGAAGCTAACTGGCCTGAGGACATAAGGAGAGAAAAAACTGGGACTGAAATTCTACCTGCCTGATTCCAGGGCGGTGTTCTTTCTACTCCTGCCAACACCAGCACCACTGGGTTTTCTGTGTGCTCGTGAGTTCAGAATGTTTTCGCTGCATCCTTCCTGTCTAGCCTGAAAATGTACAAACTGAGTGGATTGCTTGCAAGCTGGTTGCAAAAATCAGTTACTAGGCTGCAAATGGAGAAAGTTTTCACGAAGCGAGGGCAACCACGCTAGTGAGAGGGCGGTCTTTGCTGCCACCCGCTGGTCTCATGGTGGAATTGCACCAGGGGCCGGCCAATCTCCGATCAGTCCAAGGACATTAGTTCTCAGCCCCTTGGGCTCCCGGCAGGGGTGTTCAGCTGGGGCGAGCCACCACCCCACCAACCTGGGACATTTGGCGACGGCCAGAGACTTCTGGTTGTCACAACTGGGGCAGAGTGCTACTGGCATCGAGTGAGTGGAGACATGCCGCTAGGCCTCCTAAGTGCACAGACGGACCTGCAGCCCAGTTATTCAGTCCGCGTGTCAATAGCGCCGAGGCTGAGGGATCCTGTAGGGGAGCAAAGAAGAAGAATAACGAAAGAAAGCGCATAAATACTCAAGGAACTGACAACAAAGTTGAAACGCATTCTATTCTGTTAATAAATATTTACTGAACACCTACTATGTGCTGAGGAGTGTGTAGGGTCTGGGGACACATTAGTGTGCGTGGGTGAAAGATCCCTGCCTTTGCTAGCTTCCATGGAAAGAGAGGATAAACACGGGAACCAATAACATGCATGAGAAGTTCAGATAGTGGTTAGTGTTATGAAGAAAATAAACAAGGTCATGAGATGCAAATAACATGAATCTACTTAAAAGTGGAACTACAAACGCAAAATGAACAGACAAGACGAATGAACAGAACAGAAAGAGACAGACACAGAGAAGAGACTGGCGGTTACCGGGGGGGAGGGGCCGGGGCAGGTAGGTGAAATTGGTGAAGGGGATATAGAGGCACCAAATCTCAGTTATAATATAAATTAGTCATGGGGATGGAAGTACAGCAGAGATAACAGTCAATGTACTTACTGTCTGTAACTACACTTTGGGGTGAGGCTTTAAGAATGTAGGTAACTGTCAAATCACTTTGGTATATATATATATATACTTGAAACCAACATAATATGTACATCAACTATACTTCAATAAAAATAAAAAGGTCATGAGTTGGAGGGTGGCTGGGAGAGATGCTTGTCCAGGAAGGACAGTCAGGAGGGCCTCTTGGAGCAGGTGACATTGTGCTAGACTAAAATGAGGAAGCTGCCATGTGGAGGAACAGTAGAGCAGGCAGGTGACAGCAAGTGCAAAGGCCCTGAGGTGGGAATAAGTTTGTTTGAGGAAGAGAAAGGAGAGGTGAGGGAGCATGGTAGGAGGGGGGATGTTAGAGAGGTGAGGTGCCTGTGGTCCTTGTCAAGGGGTGTTGTTGATGATTCAATGGGTTTAGGGTTCTCTCCATTCTATCCCATCCCATCCAGTTCTGATTCTGCTCTGAGGGCAGTGAGGTGTCTCTTGAGGTTTTCAGCAGGTAGTGAGGGGTGCACAGGCTTTAAGACTGTGGTTCTCAACCTTGGCTTCACATTAGCATCATCCTAAGACTTAAACAAAGAAACTTCTAACACTTGTAACACTTGGGCCTCAACCTTCTAATCCTGGGGGAGCCCAGAAGCTTGCAGAGCAGATGCTGTCCCCCCCATTTTACAGATGAAAAGAGCAAGGCCTGCAGAAGGACAGGACTTGCTCTGGGGGACGTGCAGGTGACAGACCCTGAGCTCCAGTACCCTCTGACACGGGGCTGCTCACTTTCTCACCCGAGAGTCAATGGCCTGGATTTATTTAAAGTAAAAAAGGGGGGCAATCTGTGGTCTTTGCTTATCATCTCAGCGAATTTTCCCAGCACATGACACCCAATGGCCGGGGCACTGATCCTGCACCTCCATGAACCGTAGACTCGTAATCTCTGCCTTGTGCCCACAGGTTTCAGGTGTTTACAGGTTAGGTCCCCGTCTGGAGCATGTGGGAGCTGGGGAGTGGGGAGGTGGCCTAGGGAGGGAAAGACAGGAGGAGAGAGACA